TCACACCTGCATTCCTCATCCACGCTGGTCACTCCTACACTCCTGTTTCACGCTGGTCACTTCTATACACTATACGGGTTCGTCACCACACTCTATGGGCGCTGGGTGGCGGACAATAAGTATGCATACTGAAGTGGATAATAATATGGTGTGATACAATATATACAATATATAATAATAAGATATACTAGTATGTATAATATATAATATATAATAATATATATAATACATAATAATAATATTGGGTGATATGGGTCATATATGGCTGGTGGTGGCATTGGGTGATGTAATAATAAGTGGGATAATACATGTGGGCAATATATGTGGGCAATGGTATGGGTGGGCTGGGTGGCGTATGGGCCAGGAGAGGAGGGGCTGGGTATGGGCGGCCAGGCGGGCTGGGTGGCGGGCGGGCTGGGGTGGTGGGCGGGCTGGGTGGCGGGCGGGGTTGCGGTGGGCGGGCTATGGCGTAAGGGCTGGGGTGTGTGGGGCGGCCAGTGGTTGTGACAGAGGATAATGGAATGGTGTTTATGTGACGTCATAAGATGCAAGAGACATCGGCCCCCAGGTTATGCTGTCTCCCTCCTGGTAGCCACAATTCTACCGCCACCCACCACCACCCCACGCCACCCACCACCCTATCGCCACCCACCACCACCCCACGCCACCCACCACCACCCCACGGACACCAGACCCACCCCACGCCACCCACCACCACCCCAGCCGCCACCACCACCACCCCACGCCACCCACTCTCACCACTCCCCATGCCACCCACCACCACCCCACGGACACCCAGACTCACCCTGACACCCACCACCACCCGCGCCACCCACCACCACCCGCCGCCACCCAGACCCACCCCACGGCCAACCACCACCACCCCACGGCCACCCAGATCCACTCCACACCACCACCACCCCACCACGCCACCCACCACCACCCCACGCCACCCACCACCACCCCACGCCACCCACCACCACCCACGCCACCCACCACCGCCACCCCACGCCACCCACCACCACTCCACGCCACCCACCACCACCCCACGCCACCCACCACCACCCACCACCAATTCCCCACGGCCACCCAGACCCACCCCACGGCCACCCACCACCACCCCACGCCACCTTATCTCTCAACATATACACTGTATATTTTACGTAGATCCACAATTGAAACATGAACAAAATATATCTTGATAAAACCACTCAGCATACATACATACATACATACATACATACATACATATTTGTGTACACGTGTAAGTACTAAGTGACAGCCACACACACTCTGACACTCCTTCAGATATTCAGAAGTTAAACCTGACATCAAGTAGAGACCTCGAGTTATGTTGACTGTACTCTCAGACCTTTAAGTTTGTTTACTGTTTACAACCATCTACAGCTCCTCCTCCTCTGGTCTTCCTCCTCTAGTCTTCCTCCTCTAGTCTTCCTCCTCTAGTCTTCCTCTTCCTCTCAACAGTACCCTCGTCAACATTAAGTACGATAAAACCCGTCTTGTGTGTTATATTTTGGTCAGATATACCTCTTGATTGTGGACCTGTTTATAATATCACGGGCGTCACTCTACTCCCTCACCACCCTGCCCCCTTTGCCCCCTTTGCCCCCCCCCCTCACCTCCCCCAGCAGTAGGTGTGTGTAGGGGGATCAGGGGGTGAGTGTTTATGTATAAGAGGCGACTAAGAGAGGCTGCTGATATTAGTTAGGTGTTTTGTGTGTTAGTTCCCTCCCCCGCCGCATACTGGTGATGTCGCTGCTGTCGGCTCTTACCTGCTTTATGTCCAGCTTAAGTGTGTTGGTTATACGTCTCTCTCTCTCTCTCTCTCTTTCTCTCTCTCTCTCTCTCTGCTTGCCCAGTTTTCCATTCTCCTATATCCATTTTTACTTCCTTCTTCTCTCCCTTTCATCTGTCTCCCTCTCTTCCTCTCTCTCTTTTCTTTATCCTTTCTCCTCGAGCCTCTGTGCATTTTAATTTTGTGTTTTTGCTGTTAATTTTATTTTTGTTGTTAAATTAATTTTTGCTGTTAATTTTGTGTTTTTGCTGTTAATTTTATTTTTGCTGTTAATTTTGTGTTTTTGCTGTTAATTTTATTTTGCTGTTAATTTTGTGTTTTTGCTGTTAATTTTATTTTTGCTGTTAATTTTGTTATTGCTGTTAATTTTGTGTTTTTGCTGTTAATTTTGTTTTTGCTGTTAATTGTGTTTTTGCTGTTAATTTTGTTTTTGCTGTTAATTTTGTGTTTTTGCTGTTAATTTTATTTTTGCTGTTAATTTTGTGTTTTTGCTGTTAATTTGTTTTTTGCTGTTAATTTTGTGTTTTTCTGCTATTTTTAATGAGTCAACGAAACTGCAAAAAAAAACCCCCCACAAAATTCGCAACACTTACCAGAAAATATAGTAAACAACAGATAAAAACAATAATAAAAACACAAAACAGCGATAAAACAAAAGAAATACAGGAATAAAACACAAGAAGTTAAAAAAATAAATAATAATGAATGATGGAAGGAAGAGTGAAAGGGGGAGGAGAGACAGGGAAGGAGAAGAGAGGAGAGGGTAGTAGGAGGGAAGAGAGGGGAAGAGGAAGGGGTGGAAGGTGGGGGGGTGAGATGGAGGAAGGAAACTCATCTCACAAGTTCACAAAAACGTTTCTCAGATCATTTGAGACATTTTTTGTGACTGGGGAACTTTCTCGTGGTCTCTGAAATCTTTCTTAAGTCACACTGAACTTTTTTTTTATTATTATTATTGAGTCTAAAATATTTCTCAGACATCTACGTTATGTCCCAGATGTTATGAGGAACTTTTCTTAAACATTGTGAAACTTTTCTTAAGAGACGATGGACATTTTCTAAGAGATTTTGGATATTTTCTTAAGAGTTCCCCCCTTTCCCCCACCCTCCCCCCACCCTCCCCCCACCCCAAATCGTTTCTCAAGGCCCCGTAAGACGCTTTCCCTGTGTTAATTAAGTCTGACAGAGGCGTGTGGGGGTAGTAATCTCAGAGCTTTATTGAGGTTTTAACGTGTGGGGGAACGCCATAGCCAGCCTTGTATAAGTCTCTTGCGTACACCTTGTCACTGCTAAAAGGTTAGGAGGTGTTATAAAACTGTGTGCTAATGTCTTGAGGGAGTCTTATTAGGAGAACCTGGCTTGTGTTATGGCTGGTATATATAAACAGAAAACTCAAACCGACACTCACACAGGTTATAAGACTTCTGAAGTATGTCCTTAAAGAAGTATTATTAATTTAGGAGGCAAACGTGTAACTTTTCGACAAGAATTATATAACCAGACTTCAGTCACCTCAACAGTATACATTCTTAAATCACATAAGACCACTAACATGACTTCACTATATGACTTCAAAGTTAAGGAGGTGTGTAGGACTGTGGGGTTAAGATCTGAACTTGTGTAGACTCGTCTGGCCACTTCCCTACATAGGGGGAGGGGAGGCTTGAGGAGGTGTGAAGTGAAATATAACGTCAAGTGTGGAGAGTTATGTTCGTCACGTATGGTATTACGTTTTATTAAGCTTTTATATCATGGTATCACGTTTTATTAAGCTTTTATATCATGGTATCACGTCTTATTAAGCTTTTACATCATGGTATCACGTCTCCATAAGCTTGTACATCATGGTATCACGTCTTATTAAGTTTTTATATCATAGTATCAGGTCTTTTTAAGCTTTTGCATCATGGTATCATGTCTCCATAGCTTGTATTTTTACATCATGACATCACGTCTTATTAAGCTTTTATATCATAGTATCACGTGTTGATAAGCTTCCATCATGGTATGACGTCTTTATAAGCTTCCATCATGGTATTACCTCTCTTGGGATGGCCTCAGATCCCTCATCATGTTCTCGCATGACCAAACCATCAGCGGGATGACCTCTGATTGTCTGGCGGCCCTCCCTCCCTCCCTCCCTCCCTCCCCCCTCCCTCCCCCTCTCCCTCTCTCCCTCTCTCCCTCCTCCCATACTCCTCCTCCCTCCCCCTCCCCTCCCCTCCCTCCTCCCTCCTCCCTCCCTCCTTCCCTCTTCCTCCCTCCTCCCTCCCTCCCCACACACTCCTCCTTTTCTCTCCCTTGCTCACCCTTACCCTCCCCTCCCTCCCTCACTCACACCTCCCCCTTCCTCCTCCTTCCCTCTCTTCCTCCTCCCTCCCCTCACTCACACTCCCCTCCTTCCCTCTCTTCCTCTTCCCTCCCTCCCTCCCACCTTCCCTCTTTCCCCACTCCCTCTCAGTGTCTCACGCCACCTTCAGTGTTCAGTGTAGGTCACGCTCTACCTCAGTGTAGGTCACACTCGGCTTCCTCACGCTCGGCCTTCAGTGTAGGTCACGTCACCTTCAGGTGTAGGTCACGCTCGGCCTCAGGTGCAGGTCATGCCTGCCTCCAGTGTAGGTCACGCTCGGCCTTCAGTGGGGAAAGGTCACGCTTGGCCTCCAGTGTAGGTCACGCTCAGCCTCAGTGTGGTGTAGGTCACGCAGTGTAGGTCACGCTTGGCCGAGTCACGCTCAGTGTAGGTCACGCCTCAAGTGGAGTCTCGGCCAGTGTAAGGTCACGCTCTGCCTCCAGTGTAGGTCACGCTCGGCCTTCTTCACGTGGTGGCGGTGCGCTCGGCCTTCAGTGGAGTCACAGCTGCACCTTCAGTGCGGTCACGCTCGCCTTCAGTGTGGAATCACGCTCTGCCTCAGTGTAGGTCACGCCTCCAGTGTAGGTCACGCCTTCAGTGTAGGTCACGCTCGGCCTTCAGTGTGGTCACGCTCGGCCTCTCCAGTGTAGGTCAGTGTAGGTCACGCTCTGCCTCACGGACCTTCAGTGTAGGTCACGCTCGGCCTCCAGTGGCCAGGTCACACGCTCGGCCTTCAGTGAGGGTCGCTTGGCCCTCGGTCATGCTCCAGTGTAGGTCACGCCTTCAGTGTAGGTCACGCTCTGCCTCCAGTGTGTGGGCCTTCTCGTGTAGGTCATGCCTCGGCCTCCGCTCGGCCTTCAGTGTAGCGGTCACGCTTGGCCTCCAGTGTTATCAGTGCTCGGCCTCCAGGGTCACGGCCTCCAGTGTAGGTCAGGCCTCCACGCTCGGCCTCCAGTAGTAGGCTTCACGCTCGGTAGGTCACGCTTGGCCTCCAGTGTTGGCTCACGCTCGGCCTCCAGTGTAGGTCACGCTCGGCCTCCAGTGTAGGTCACGCTCGGCCTCCAGTGACCAGTAGTCGATAGTGTCAAGCGGGAGCCAATTAGTGGCAGTGCCCAGGCCAAGGGAGGGAGGGAGGAGGCTCGAGGGGAGGAGGGAGGTGGAGTGAACCAGGAGGAGGCTCAGGAGGTTGAGATGAGGAGGTTGCCTTGAGGCCCGAGGGAGGGAGGGGAGGGGGTGGAGGAACTTGAGGGTGGAGAACCGAGGGAGGGAGGGAGGGTGGGGTGAGAACCGGAGAGGAGGCTGAGGAGGGTGAGGACCGAGGAGGGTGAGGCCAGAGGTTGAGGCCTGAGGGGAGGGTGGAGCTCGGGAGGGGAGGACTGAGGAGGCGGGGACCGAGGAGGTGGAGGCCCGAGGGAGGGGTGGGAGGACTGAGGGAGAGAGGTTGAGGCTGAGGGAGGGTGGAGGCCTGAGGGAGGTTGAGGCCCGAGGGGAGGGGAGGACTGAGGGAGGTTGAGGCCCGAGGGAGTTGAGGCCAAGGAGAGACCAAGGAGGTAAGGGAGGTTGAGGCCCGGGGAGGTGAGGTTGGGGCCGGAGTGGTCGAGGCCCGGTTGGGAGGGTGAGGCCTGGGAGGTGGAGGCCCGGAGGGAGGGTGGGAGACTGAGGGAGGCGGACGAGGGAGGTTGAGGGAGGGAGGTTGAGGGAGGTGAGGCCGGAGGTTGAGGACTGAGGAGGGTGAGGACCGAGGGAGGTTGAGGACCCGAGGGAGGTTGGTGAGGACCGAGGGAGGTTGAGGCGGGGAGGACCGAGGCTGAGGGAGGGTGAGGACCCCGAGGAGGTTGGAGGCCTGGGGCCGGGGAGGCTTGAGCCCCGGAGGAGGGTGAGACCTGAGAACCGAGGGGAGGGTGGAGGAGGGAGGGTGGGAGGACCGAGGGAGGTTGAGGCCTGAGGAGGGTGTGGGAGGACTGAGGCAGGCCCGAGGGAGGTTGAGGACCGAGGGAGGGGTGAGGACCGAGGCAGGTTGAGGCCCGGGAGGTGAGGCCGAGGGAGGTTGGACCCGAGGCAGGTTGAGGCCGAGGGAGTTGAGGACCGAGGGGGGTGAGGACCGAGGAGGTTGAGGCCCTGAGGACCGAGGCAGGAGGTTGAGGCCGAGGGAGGTGAGGACTGAGGGAGGAGGAGGCCCGAGGAGGGTGAGGCCCGAGGGAGGGGAGGACCGAGGGAGGTTGAGGCCGGAGGGAGGAGGCCTGAGGCCCGGAGGGAGGGAGGACCGAGGAGGTTGGAGGCCTGAGGAGGGTGAGGAGGCCGAGGGAGGAGGGAGGTGAGGCCCGAGGGAGTTGAGCCCGAGGGAGGGAGGTACGGACGGACAGACATACATCATATCTTACTACATGATGTAATCGATAGGTGATGAATGGATGAGATAGCTCTCTCTCTCTCTCTCTCTCTCTCTCTCTCTCTCTCTCATCCAAATAATGGTTTTTTTTTCATTACCCCTCTTTTTCTTTCTTTTTTTCTTTTCATTTTTTTTTTCTTTCTTTCTTTCTTTTCTTTCTTTCTTCTTTTTCTTTCTTGTCTTCGGCCACATTACAATCTTCCTCAGACGGCAAAAAAAAAAAAAATCACGTCAGGTCATGTCAGGTGAGGTCGGGTCTTTAGATTTACGGTGTTCTCTTTCATCATCCAACTTCTGCCTTTACTACTGACTTTGTCTTTTCTTTCTTTCTTTTTTTCGGGGTGGTGGGCGTATGTGTGGGTGGGCGGTGTGGGTATTGGGTGGGTGGGGTGTGTGGGGGTAGGGTCCAGTATTTTGTAGATTGTTTTTGTTTGTTTGATGTTGTGTTTGTCAGAGTAATGTTTGTGTAGTCAACATCTTTTGTCTACAGTGTGGATCTTACACACACACACACACACACACACACACACACACACGAGGTAGCTGTCAAGACGCCGTGGCCACAAGACGTGCCCTTAACAGCTGTGGTAATGAGGAAACTTTTAAAACCTCACTTAACAGGACCTGTGACTCACTGTCTCTCTCACCCAGGACCTGTCTCTCACCAGTACATGTCTCTCTCACCCAGGACCTGTCTCTCTCACCCAGGACCTGTCTCTCTCACTGTATGTGTGTGTCTCTCTCACCCAGGACTTGTGTGGACCTGTCTTCTCACCCAGGACCTGTCTCTCTCACCCAGGACCTGACCACTAGGACCTCTCACCCAGGACCTCTCTCTCACCCAGGACCTCTCTTTCACCCAGGACCTGTCTCTCACAGGACCTGTGTCTCTCTCACCCAGGACATCTCTCTCACCCAGGACCTGTCTTCTCACCCAGGACCTGTCTCTCACTCCAGGAGTATCTGTGTCTCTACCCAGGGTCTCTCACTAGTATTGTTCTTACCAGGTGTGTCGTAATACTACTACTACTACTACTACTACTACTACTACTACTACTACTACTACTACTACTACTACTACTACTACTACTACTACTACTACTACTACTACTACTACTACTACTACTACTAATAATAATAATAATAATAATAATAATACATTGCAACATCAACAAACGCCTCCGCCATTATCAGTGACGTCTGACATTTGCAACACAAACATCAAAAACACACATTCTGAAATCCGTCTGAATACGTGAGGGAAACCTGTCAAAACTTATCTGTGTTGCCTGACGTATACATGTACCAGGATACAATGGAATGATATATAAAACGATATAATTCTGCGAAATTCTCTGACCTTTTTAAGCTCTTGTCAGGATTGGAATAAAAATGGATAATATATTTTCTTTTTAATTTTCGCCGCCTTGTCGTTACCGAAGGCAGAATGATGTGATGGTGTCTTTCATTATTTATATTTCGTTCTTATGTCGTGTTGTTGTTTAATTATCTTCACATGTCCATAATGGGGAGATTATACTCTGATAAGATATTTTAAGACTGTGTACATAAGAGAGAAGTGTGTGTGTGTGTGTGTCTTAAACTTGTGATTCTTGAAGTTAATTGAAGGTTATGTCCACTTGGTATATTTTATTGGTTTTGTTTAGTTGGTTTTCGGGGTTTGGGATGTTATGTTGACGATGAGTTTGTGATGGGTATGTTGTGTGTGTGTGTGTGTTCAAACTTCACAACACACACACACACACACACACACACACGCACGTTACTACCCATACACCACACACACACACACACACACACACACACACACACACACATACACACACACACACACACACACACACACACACACACACACACACACACACACACACCACACACAACACACACACACACACAACACACACACACACACACACACACACACACACACACACACACACACACACACACACACACACACACTCACAATATAGTACACAGTGTCAGGCAGCAGTGACAACTACATCACCTGAGACACTGATTTTTGTTTGTTGGAAATATAAACCGAGTGTTGTAAAATTTAGGAATTACGGATGAATATGACCCAACCTAACCTATCCTATCCTAACCTAACCTAACCTATCCTATCCCATCCTATCCCATCCTATCCTGTCCTATCCTAAAATTACCTCACCTAACTCTTCCAGTAACGACCTCTGAGCTGTGAGTGCCACCCAGCATTGAGAGGGACCCAACTGTGAGTGCCACCCAGCAGTGGAGGGCCCAACTGTGAGTGCCACCAATAGAGAGGCACCAACTGTGAGTGCCACCAACTGTGAGGACCCAGCTGTAGTGCCACCCACCCAGCTGTGAGAGGGACCCAACTGTAGGCCACCAGCTGTGAGTGCCACCCAGCTGTGAGAGGGACCCAACTGTGAGTGCCACCCAGCTGTGAGAGGACCCAACTGTGAGTGCCACCCAGCGAGTGCAAACACACCACAGTCACCCAGCGAGTGCCACCCAGCTGTGAGAGGGACCCAACGGTGCCACCCAGCTGTGAGTGCCACCCAGCTGTGAGAGGGACCCAACTGTGAGTGCCACCCAGCTGTGAGTGCCACCCAACGTGAGAGGACCCAACTGTAGTGCCACGTGAGTGCCACCCAGCTGTGAGTGCCACCCAGCTGTGAGTGCCACCCAGCAGTGAGAGGGACCCAACTGTGAGTGCCACCCAGCGTGAGTGCCCAGCAGTGAGAGGGACCCAACTGTGAGTGCCACCCAGCTGTGAGTGCCACCCAGCATGAGAGGACCAACGTGAGTGCCCAGAGTGAGAGGACCCAACTGTGAGTGCCACCCACAGTCACCCACGAGTGCCACCCAGCAGTGAGAGGGACCCAACTGTGAGTGCCACCCAGCTGTGAGTGCCACCCAGCATGAGAGGCACCCAACTGTGAGTGCCACCACTGAGTGCCACCCACCAGTGAGAGGGACCCAACTGTGAGTGCCACCCAGCTGTGAGTGCCACCCAGCAGTGAGAGGACCCAATCAGAGTGCCACCCAGCTGTGAGTGCCACCCAGCTGTGAGAGGGACCCAACAGGAGTGCCACCCAACTGTGAGCACCCAGCTGTGAGAGGGACCCAACTGTGAGTGCCACCCAGCAGTGAGAGGACCCAACGTGAGTGCCACCCAGCTGTGAGTGCCACCCAACTGTGAGTGCCACCCAGCTGTGAGAGGGACCAACGAGTGCCACCCAGCAGAGAGGACCCAACTGTGAGTGCCACCAACTGTGAGAGGGACCCAACTGTGAGTGCCACCCAGCTGTGAGTGCCACCCAGCAGTGAGAGGGACCCAATGGCACCCAGGAGCACCCAGCTGTGAGAGGGACCCAACTGTGAGTGCCACCCAGCTGTGAGTGCCACCAACTGTGAGAGGGACCCAACTGGAGTGCCACCCAGCTGTGAGTGCCACCCAGCAGTGAGAGGGACCAACTGTGAGTGCCACCCAGCTGTGAGTGCCACCCAACTGTGAGTGCCACCCAGCATGGAGAGACCCAACGTGAGTGCCACCCAACCGTGAGTGCCAC